TACTGGCACTTTCCCTCCTGGGACCCAGTGGAGGCTGAGGCGACCGGTCTACGGTCTCCGTCAGGCTCCTCATGAGTGGCACGACACCCTGCGCTCTACCCTTTCTGACCTCGGTTTCCAGCCGTCTTCTGCCGACCTGTCGCTGTTTGTTCGGCGTGGCTCCACACCGTTCTTTGTTCTGGTCTACGTCGACGACCTGGTTTTCGCCACTGCTGCCAGGATTGCTTTGGCTGACGTGAAGCGCGAACTGCAGAAGAGACACACATGCACTGACCTTGGTGAGCTGCGCCACTACCTTGGCCTGCAGATCACCAGGGACAGAGTCGCTCGCACCATTACACTCTCACAGTCACACATGGTGCAGCAGGTCCTTCTGCGGTTCGAGCTTCAGCACTCCACAGTACAGCGCACACCTCTTGTTGTTGACCACAGACTCACTGGACCCTTCCCTGACGAGCCGTTTGAGCCTAGTGGTCCTTACGCAGAGCTTGTGGGCTGCCTCATGTACCTGATGACTTGTACTCTCCCGGACCTCGCCTTCCCTCTCAGCATCCTTGGTCGCTTTGTTGCGCCAGGGAGACACCGTCCAGTTCATTGGACAGCTGCTGTGAGGGTGGCGAAGTACCAAGCGACGACATCAGGCGTAGGGCTGGTTCTTGGAGAGCAGCAGTCTGTTGTACTTACTGGACATTGTGACTTTTCTTACGCTGACGATGCCGAGACTCACAGGTCTACTCAGAGGTACTGCTTCAGCCTGGGCTCTAGAGCTGTTTCGTGGAGGTCTACACGTTCCTCCTCGGTCTCGACCTTCACTGCTGAGGCTGAGATCTACGCTGAAGCCATGGCTGCACAGGAGCTGTGTTGGTTGACCTTCTTGCTCACTGACCTTGGTGAGCAGCCGAGCTCTGCACCGACCTTGTTCACTAACAACAAGGCGTTGATTCTCCTCTGTCGAGAGTCGCGACTGGAGAGCAGAGTGAAGCACATCAACGTCAGGTACTTTTTTCTGCGAGAGTTGCAGAGGCGTGGACAGGCTCTCTTCGACTTTGTGGAGTCCGAGGCCAACACTGCAGACATCTTCACCAAGGCGCTTCCGCCTTGTGACCACCAGAGGTGTTGTGTGCAGTTAGGTCTCGTTGACACTGGTCCTCGCCTTGCGTAGTCTTGAGTTCGTTGCTTGCTTTGTTTGTACTGTGAACTCTTGAACTAGCCTTGTGGCTCTTTTGCTTGTACTCGGAGTGTGTGGTGACATTGTGATCCACCCTGAGCTTTGTTTCTTTGTGACTGGTCTTGTGACCGTACACTCTTGGTTTTGCTTGACACCCCTCACTTAGACTATGGGGGTGTGTCAAATATTGTAGTCTTAATGATGTGTGTTATAGGGGGTACAACTGTTAGGGTTAGGTTTATGTACCCCAACCAACCTTAGTCAAACAATCACTTTCATTCTTGACACTCTCTTGCTGTGCTTTGCTTGTACGTGTTTCTTTCTCTCGATAGTCCAATCTTCTTTTCTCCTTTCCTCATCGCTCTCATGCTAGCTGAGCCTAAACCCTGGTGGGCTGAGAAAATAGCCCTTACCAGGATCATTACACAGACCCTGAGTAGAGGTGGTGTAATTGCGGAAGCGTTCTTTAGTGAACTTGTTGAACCACTTGCACTAGTGTGTGAGAGCAAGAGATTGATCATAGCAAAGCAGTACAAGGTTTTTATAAGATTACAGAGAATACGAAGAGATGGATTTTAACTGTTTTGTTGTTGTTGAGGTTTGATACAGCGACGACTCGGGCAACTGCTCAATACCGAGTCAGTTGTGTGCCCTTGCTGTCGCGCTGCCTTTTGTCAAGTCAAAGGTCGCCAACCTTTGACCTTCGCGTAACCTCCAGCTGTTACGTTTTGTCAACCTCCTTGGTTGACTCGCCGTTGCTTCACTGCAATTTGCCTCGTTTGCAGTTCGATGTTCCGACACATCAGAAGCGTTAAATTACTTGTTTCCAACAAACCCCAAGGTTCCTAAGTAACGTATCTCAACACTGCTCACTCAAATCTCGAAATTACTGGTACCAGTGAAACGAAGCCAGCAGGTTTACTCCAAAAATAAAGCTATGGGCAAAGCTTGATCAGCACTCAACAGCCACAAGGTACTCTTACTCTAAATGAAGCAAATGCTACCCTGGAAACGTCTCAAAATAGTTTTAGCTAAAGAGATGGCAAGCGGAAATGAGACCTGAGAGCATGCTACCCCATCCCATACGCCACTCAACGCAGCCCAGGCAAGGTTCCAGGGTGCACCAGGAGCGACAGCAACAAGCCGCTAGCGACCATTGAGTGGCTTACATATGGGATGGGGCATGCACTTGGACTCAATCAAGTGCATTGCTGGCTGGGCCTTATAATAGTCAGATAACGCTCCGTTCCGAATACTCTACCATATCTCGGCTTAGCAGGAGAGTAACGCGTGTCCAGCAGCTTCAATCAGCGTTACTTGGGCCGTAAAATCTTGTCTAGAAGGCTCGAAGGGATTATTCACATCAGGAGCACGAAGCAGTAGAGGCATGAGCGGGGCAATGAGGCTGCGAGCGTTCCGTCAGCTGCAACCACCATCAGCACCACGGCACCGCGCACCACCGCTCTTTCAGTTTCCCACGGCGCAGCAATCACGGGGTAAACGACATGGGGAGAAGGTGATGACTGATGAGATGAACGGCCATCTTGGACCCGATATACACGTTAGGGACCACGACAACCGACGGCAGAAACACGCGCCCCTGAAGCATCACCACCGTCGCGTTTTTCTTGGAGAATAGCTTCACACTACTGCCCTCCATGGTCGGGAGCCGCGTGTCCTCGGTCATGGCTTTAAGATCCTCGATCCGGTACTTGTTGTTCTCAATCAAGTGGTACTTCAAGATCCGGTCGAATTTATCCGCGCCATACTGTAGGAGGTCCTTTGTTAAATAAACCGCGTTGAGCGGCACGAAGAGAGTCGCCGCGCCCGTCTTGCGCGCCGCCACTGGCGGGGAACGCGGGGAGAGGATTAAAGGGAGGGGATGGGCAGGGAAGGGGTGTGAAGAACGTCGGTATACCACTGAGCGATCGTGGGTTGTATAAGGCGCGAAGGGGTGGTGGTGCGCGTGGTATGATGTATGATTACACACAAGTACGAACGTGGGATATGCGCATGGAAGGAGGGCGGGAAGAAAGGGTGGAAGGATAAGATACCAGAACAGAAATAGGAAAAGAAAAAGACACCAGAGCATAAAGGTGTGAGGAGAGGGGAAAGCTGGGAGATGGGTGAGGAAAAGGAGGGGAGAGGGGAGAGAACGGATGGGGAGGCGAAATGGTTAGAAAGACGCATGGCGAAGACATCTGCGAGTCGAGACAAGAAGGTTGGGAGAGGAAAGTGGGCGACGGAAAGCAGAAACATTAACTTCAGCCTTTTGACCTCCAGCTGAATCATGCCTTGGTGAAAGGAAATACACCACAGAAGGAAGCTTCTAAGAAATTCGAACTCACGCAACGCTTTGACGAAGCTGAAAATCCCTAACGTTGCGGCTTTTGGAAGGGTCTTGGGGATGTTTATCGCGACGGCTGCCTGAACGTTCCATTCCTCTAACACATCTGCGTTCCTTTTGCCCTCCACGCAGGGATAAATACTGGCTGACAGCACACCGAGCACGAGCAAAGCGGCAACGGTAGCCAGAAATCTCGCCATACCCTTCGTCCAGGCACTCAATCAGGCAGCTCGTGTCTATCAATCTCAACAACCTACTACAAGCAGAGAGAACCAGCTAAGCAGGGAGATGGTTGATGCTGAAAAGGTGAGAAACAGGGGCTAGAAATGTTGGGTGGTGTGTCGAATGGAAGGGCAAATTTGTCGAGTGGTGGATGGTATGGTCTCACTCACTCCCCGTCATAGCTTACAGCCCGTAACTCTGAAGTTGCGCGCCGCATACGCAGCTGTCTTGGTGCACTCAAATTGAACGGGCGATATTGGCTAATCACAAACCGCGCCTATAATCTCGACCGACGATTCGCACCGGAAGGCGCATCCCGCACCGCAGGTGAGCTTCCCCGCTTCGCACCCTAACCTCAGCCGAGCTGCCCCTTGTTGACAACACCTCCAGTCCAGGCCATTCCGCATTTGCTCCGCTGGTTTGGTTAGCTCGAGATCTGATGTTAGCACAGAATGGCTCGGCAGGCCAAACCTGTAAGGGCCAATCATAAACTTGTTGGAGCAAGACCTCCAGTTCGCTCCGACAAAGCTTTGGACTCTCGTGTCGCGTCTCGACAGCATGCAGAGCGTCATTCCCGGTGCACGATTCACTGTTTTGGAGCTTTGAAAGTACAAAAGCGAGTGTTACCATCACTACGAAAGTAGAAATGGGAACATATTCTTTCGCGAACTTACTGGATGACGTATAGCTCTAGGCATTCTGTATATCAGATTAAAACAATTATAGCTCGTTCAGAGCATTTTTCCTAAAATGGATTCCGCCTGGATGTTAATGTCCTCTGCGCCATGGATTCCGCCTGACGGCTTTAAGGAGCTTGTTTGTGAAGGCCACGTGTCATTTGGTTACAATGTTCACGGATTCGGAACCGCCTTACTGTTACGAAGCTTAAGATACACTTCTTGTGTCCAACTGACGGACATTGTATCTTATGCTCCGAAGTGTCCGTTTTCTGTGAAGTTAACTAACTCCAAGGTTTCACGACAGCTTCCATGGCTGCTCAACGCGGCAAGGTCAAGGGATGACACCTGTTTTTCGCGTTGTCATCAAGGTTGCCAGCTTGGTTTCTTTCACACGCCTTTATTGGCAGGTTATCTATTGCAAGAATCGGGGAGCAAGCTACTTTCCAGGACCTCATCTTCTCGGTGTTTCAAGTTTAAGGATTTAAGAGACAACAATGGTGGTGGAAGTTCAGTGCTCAGACGTTGGCTTTCACCTCAAGGAGGTTTCCAGTTCTCGCCTTGTCATCATCGCACTATGTCCAGAATGACGACCAGGAATGGCGGTGTCCGTAACACGGACGCCTTGACGGGGAATGCCCTGGATAAGCCTAAGGAGGTGTCGGCGGTGGTTGACGCTGCAGCATCCTCGGCTGTCAAGCGTATATCGGATCTGTTCACGGAGGCGGATAAGGACGCGCTTCAGCCGGGTGTGTCGGCGCAGCGAGTGCAGGATGCTGCGCGGAGTCTGCTGGGATCAGCGGCCTCTGGTGCAACGTTGCCTCCTACGGATGGTGTTGACAAGCCTGAGCCTGCAGATGGTGCGGGAGGCAACAATGTCAGCCAGGAGAAGCGTCAGGCTACGACGACTGTCTTACCTACGGACGACGATGAAGAGGACGACGGGTACCTTAGTGATGACCCTGAAGAACGTTATGATGCATCCGCGAAGAGCGAAGTTGCTCAGCGTGTCCGTTTCGCCATTGTCCTGCTAATCCCTCTTGTCTTCAAGCCGGAGGTGACGCGGGTGCAGGCGACTCTGCGCGCGCTCTTTGCCCTGTGGAAGAAGGAGTTGAAGTTTGAGATTCAAGGGGAGACGAAGTTTCAGGAGCTATCTGTGGTGTACTTAAACAAGAAGCAGTACAGCCGTCTGCAAGTTACCTTTGAGCGAGCGCGGGACGCGAACTTCGTCTGGAAGCACGGTATCGTGCACGTGTGTCTGGATGGGAAGCGGATCAGCCTCGACTGGCAGCACCCGGTTGACCCTGCGTACGTGAAGGCGCGAGCTGCAGACCCAACGCTGGTAGAAGTTTTGTTCAAGGGGGTGGATGCCGTCATCACTCCTGAGATGCTGCGCGAAATGCTGGTGACGGTGAAACTGGAGAAGAGGGGACGATCTGCGTTTAAGGAAGGGTGTTGTTTTCATCGGGTGGTAAATCCTGTTACGGGCATGGATACGGATAAGGTGAAAGGATTGGTGAAGCAGCATGCTGGCGACAAATACCGTTGGCGTCATAAGATCGACGATCCGACGGCGCATGACAAGCAGCTGATGGTCCACTACCCCTCGCAGAGCTGTACCTACTGTTCGGGGTTTCACATGACAAGGTACCATGATGAGTATGTGGTGGATCGGCAGAACAACATCGGCAAATGGAGCCTGTCCCTGGGACGGGTGCACGGGATCAACGGTAATGGTTGGTGCTTTCTGACTGCTCACCTGCTGTTGCTGTTTTTAGAGTGGAGTGGTGCTAATATTATGGATGTGTCGGATCCGCGCAGCCGCCTCAGTTCAGATCACAGATCTGACCAGGCTCATCTTGAAGGACCCGGCGGTGGTGCTGATTTCGACTGGAGTGAACCACGAGGAATGGATCTGTGTGCAGGAGTGCTGCGAGAAGGCGAATGGGGTTACCTTTGCACAGGCGGCAGAGCATGTGGTCTCACAGAGGCACAGCGACGGGGTGTCAGCCGGTTTCGCATCGCGTGCCTCAAAGGCAGGTGTGGCGCTGCAGGCGGCGAAGAAGGAGTTCGGTGTGTGATGCTGATCTGCGGCCAGGCTGTGGGGGAAAGGAAAAACGGACCGTCTTACGCCGTACGGGTGGAACACGTAGAGAGTCTTTGTGGTGATGTCGGGTGTCTTGCTGTATTCCAGGCCTTATAATCGAGTTACAAGCTGCAGTGTCAACGCCCTGTGGATACAAGGGGGGCTCAGTGGAGGTTAATCAATGAGTAACACCAACCGACTCACCATCTTGTCCCTGAACGTCAACGGTTTGGGGAGCGAAGGAAAACGACAAGCGTTGAAGAGATGGATCAAAACAACTGCGGATGTAGTGATACTTGCAGACACGAGAGTAGCAGAGGATCACAATTTCTGGACGGAGTTAAGGCCTCACAGCGTGGCCGCAGCAGGTGCGCCTACCAGGGCAGGCGGGGTGGCCATTCTGAGTTTCCGGGACGGTGTGTGTATCGAAGACATTCACCGGCATGTGTCGGGCAGGTTGCTCCATGCAAGGGTGCGGTGGGGTGCACGGCAACTGAGATTGTTGGCAGTGTACTTCCCGGCACAGGCTCCTCCAAGGGGCAGTTTCTTGGGGTCAGAGTTTAGCGTCTTTGCTGCAGACCTGCCAAAGGGGGAGCAGCTGGTGGTCGCGGACGATTTTAACATGATTGAGGACCCGGTGCTAGACAAATCAAATGGTCAGGGCGTGGTTGGTGACAACAACAGGATGATGCATATACTGCAAGATTTCCATGTGAGGGACGTGTTCAGGGAGTTTAATCCGGATGAGCGGCAGTTTACCTTCTACTGTGGGTCGGTGAAAGTCAGCTCACGTATTGAGAGGGTGCTGGTCTCGCAAGCGCTGTTGCATCTTGTTGCCAGAGTGGCTCATCGGCAGATCCCGAAGGGGATCACCGATCATTTGAGCGGGGTCTGTGTGCGGCTGGTGTGGAGAGGCGCGCATGAGCCCGGGCCGGGTGTCTGGCGCTTTCCGGCGAGGTTGGCGAAGCGTCCAGGGGTTAAAGCGGCGGTAGCGGAGGTGGTCCAGAGACATGAAGCCGAGGGGGGTGCTGATTTCGACAAGTTATCCAGGCGCCTGGGTGCCCGTCTGCGGAAGTACGACAAGGAGGAGAGAGGGCGGGTCAAAAGAACACGGCAAACATTGGAACGTCAAGTGAGCGCACTGCAACAGAAAGTGATGGCTGACCCGAGTGATGATGAGTTACAGGCGGTGCTGACGAGCAGGGAGGCGATGCTGGAAAGGTACTGGGACAGTCGGAGGGATTTCCTGCAAACAAGAACGGGGCTGAAGGTACAACTCAACGGTGAAGCGCCAACCGCTCTCTTGTCAGCGATGGTCAAGAGCAGAAAAGCAAGGACGGGGATCAAGGAGTTGGTGCGGAATGGCGTCAGCCATACAGAAGCCAAAGAGATACTGGCAGCGGCCACGGGCCACTTCGCGGAGGCGTTTGGTGAGCAGTCGGGGAACGACGGGGCAGAGCCGGTGTTGGATTGGACTCCGCGCAGGGTACTGGAGGAGGCATCTGCTGAAGCTATATCAAGGGATTGGACGGAGGCAGAGGTCAAACAAGCAATACGGGAGTTGGCCAACGGCAAGTCGCCAGGCTGTGATGGGATTCCTAAGGAGCTGTTCCAGCACCAGTGGGAGTTGCTAAGGAAGCCGGTGATGAGCATGGTAGAGGAGTTCGTGTCATCAGGGAAGCTACCGGAGGTGGCGAATGAAGCTGTTACGATCCTGCTTTACAAGAAGGGGGAGGAGACAGATGTCAGAAATTACAGACCAATCACGCTCCTAACTAGCGTCTACAAATGTCTAGCTAAGGTGGTGGCGACCAGGATGAAAGCGGTGCTTGACCAAGTGATTTCGAAGGAGCAGTTTGGGTTTTTACCGGGCAGGAGACTTACAGATGCAGTGTCGCTGGTGGCCGATTTGATTGAGACGGCCAAGAACGAAGACAGTGACTGGTATTTGCTCCTCATCGATTTCGAGAAAGCGTACGATTCAGTACAGAGGGGTTTCATGCTGGAGACGATTGCCAAGCTCGGTTTCCCCCCGCGTTTTGTGGGCTGGATCGAGACCCTGCACAGAGACGTACACACGAGGCTGTGCATTAATGGATGGACTGGGGAGCAGATTCAGATGCGGAAGGGGGTGCGGCAAGGGTGCCCGCTCGCACCTTACCTGTTTCTGTGCGCGGTGGAGCCGCTTAGCCGCTTGGTTGAGAAGAGGGAGCTGGGACTTGGAGAGAAGGGCTGTGAAAGACTCACGTACGTGGGTTACGCAGACGACACCACGCTACTGCTGGAAGGAGAGGCACAATTAGTGGCAGCGGGCGCGGTGCTCCAAGAATTTGCAGCAGTGTCGGGGCTGAAGGTGAACACCGGGAAGTCTGCTGTGCTGCCGCTGGGGAAGAACGTGGGGGAGCCGGCGCCGGCTGGTTTGGGCTACAAGTGGGTGGAGAGAGAGACTGCAGAAAGGTTGTTGGGGGTGTGGATAACACCTGGGGGAAGTGCAGAGATTACGTGGGAAAAAGCTTTCGACAGGGCAGCAGGGGAGCTGAGTAAATGGCAAGTAAAGTATTTAACGACGGGCGCGAGGGTGACCATCATCAACAGCTATATCATCCCGATCTTCCTGTTCCAGGCGCAGGTGTATCCTCCGGATGACCTGCTGTGGAGAAGGGTGGAGAAGCTGGTTGAGAATTTCGTGTCGGGAAACCACGCGGATACAGAAAAACACTTCAGACTGTGGAGCCGCGGACTGATTTACGCGCCGAGAGAACTGGGGGGGCTGGGGGTGATCGACCCACGCGGAAGAATAGATAGTGTGGCCTTACGATGCGCAGGTTTGACGCTGTTGCAAGAGTGCTCTCTACGACGCGGACTGGCGGAAAGGGCGGCGGGAATGCCTCTGGGGTGGGCGACGCTATACGCGCACAAAGCAGTGTTGAAAGGGGGTTTGATTCAGAGCAGGAGGTGGGCGAGAATTTGTAAGGCGGTGCTTAAATCGACGGCGGTGGAGGTGAAAGAAGCGGCGTCGAGATGGGAGGCGGCGGAGGAGTTCCTCTGTTTCAACAAGCGGATCATCCACCGGGGGAACGCCCCTTTTGGCGGACAGCAAGGCACTGAGAAGCTGAGAAAATGGAAGATGCGGGATATGGTTCTACGGAAGTGGGACGGCACGGTGGTGGTGAAGTCAAAAGAAACGCTGGCGAGAGAGCTGGGGGGGGATAAAGAAGCAGAGATGGCGCTAAAGGCTTTCGCGGCAGCTCCGGAGCAGTGGAGAAAATGGCTGACGGCGCCGCTGACGGCGGACGAGGTTGCAGCTGCGTCATCAGTGGTGTGCACTATGTTACCGGGGGGCCAGAGGTGTCTGTGGGAGATCTATGCCTGTATGGGAAGGAAGGTCGAGCTGTGTGGCCTTGACGGTAACGGGGAGCGAGCGGCATGGAAGGTGAAGATTGTGCTGGGGTGTGATAGTGTGGTGCCAGTGGTGTTCTCCAAGTCACGAGCTGTAAGGGTGGTTGGAGATGCCAGGGCGCAGCTGCTGGCTTCATCTCTGTTTGAGGAGGACGAGGTGGCCTCGCTGAAAAGGCTCAGGGGACGGGGCAAGGATGCGGAGGCGGTAGAGGTTAAGAGGGCAAGCTGGGAAGCTCGAGCGGGCAGGAAGATTGATTGGGAGCGAGGGAGGCGCATCAGGGATTCCCTGGTCACTCCGCTACGTGCGTGGGATGTGCTGCTCCGGGTGCAGAACCTAAACCTCCAAGTGGGGGAGAGGGTTCCGTTCCTGCGAGGGGGGGACGCTTGCCCACTCTGCGGGAAGAAAGAGACACTGGAGCACTGCTTGTTGGAATGCACGCGCGTCGCGCCAGTGGTGGCTGCTGTCAAAGCAGCACTCGGTATGATGCAGCCGACGAGACACGTGGACCGGTTGGCAGACTTGTTGTTCGGGAAAGAGGAGACGAGGTCCGGTTTTCCGGAAGCAACGATGGTGGCGGTGGCAGTTCACCAGATCTGGCTAGGGAGGTGTGACGTGTCACTGCAAAAAACAAGGAGGTTTCTGGTTCGGAAGGTGCTTCGGAGGATAAACGTGGAATTCAACAAACACGTCAGGATCTACTGTAGCAGGCCTAGCAAGCAGGCACGGAGGGATAAGGCGAGGTGGAATCTGGCGGAAGATGAGGCACGTGTCATGAAGCGGATATGTGACAACGGGGCAATTGGGCTGAGGTGGCAGGATGGTTTCCAGTCCATATGGACGAATCCGAGGACTTTCACAAAACCGCCATAAACCCGTAGGGAGGGCTAGGTTCTCGCCTGGCTCGAGCCCTACAGACACAGTTACGACTGTAGTGTTTTGCTTGTACTCCTGTTTGTATAAGCTTTCACTTTCAAAAAAAAAAAAAAAAAAAAAAAAAAAACATTTTTCCTGCATGGACGGGCTTATGGTTTATCAGTCTCAAACATTTTTTCTACAGGATAAAGAGTTTCTATATATGTTCTGTGTTTCTAGCACTCGTACAGTAACAGATTACACCTGTGGAGTAACAACAATATTAGCATCTTCTCAATGCCAGAGTAACAATATTTATTGTCATTAGTGGTTGTTATTGGGAGCATTTTAAAACTGAAATGCAAAATAGTGAACCCGTCTCCAGCTTGAAAGAGGGCTTGTCGAGCGAAACAATTTTCAAACCAAACTGACAAGTTTGCACTGTTTCATTGAGAGCGTTCGAACAGATCGAACAAATCTGATTGGTTCCCGCCAAAACCGAAGAAAGAAACACAGCACGTCAGGCGTCGCAACTCTGTTTGGGGAGCCGCATAATATAAGCACTGCGATAGTTTGTCACGTCCCTGCGATTTTTGCCCAGCTTGGGGTTCAAGTTGGGCATGGGTGAAGTACTACTAGTTCTTCCATTCATTTTTCTTGCTTCTTAGTTATCAGTTGCCTGTCTAACCATATAGCCCTCAAGTTAGGCTATTGTCACCGCAACTTAGACGCGTAGTGATTAT